CAACAGCTCCTGTCAATAAGCTGAAATTCACAGCCCTTGACTAATAGAAGAAAGAGGAAATGGCGATGCTTCATTAAACAAAAAAAAGCCATGAACACTGCACAGCAAGTGACTGCTCCAAAGTCAGCGTGCATCTTGTATGCATTGAGCAGAATGAGAGCAGTAATGAGTATCAGTTTTATCAGTCATTTACATACTATTCTCAGAACTGTATCTGATCAGTACTGAATACTTAATACTTGAAGACAGTGAAAAGACACGCTCCACAAAACAGTTAAGGAATTGGTTGGCGTATCCCCTGCCAGGGGCAGAACGCTGGGCAGATCAAGCAGTGACAATCTGACAGAACATTATTATAAAGCCTGAACAGCAACTGTTAAAGCTAACATTTCAGGAACAGTATGAAAGAACACACGTAAAAGCTAAAAAAAAAAAGAAAAAAAGAAAAAAAAAGAAAAAAGCTAAAAAAGAAAGTTAAACAGACTACACAGGTACCTTGTTCACTGGAACTTCCACTATCTTGGCATGACTGGATGGTCTTGAGAAGTCCAAATTCTTCATGAAAGAATCTTGTCATAGAAGCCCAAAAGGTACCACCAGAAACACTCTGTGATAAGGTGTGTGAGATTTCTGGGATCCAAACTTCTAACCAAACTTTGAGATTGTACTGGACTGGATCTGAGGTTGGGTGTCCATTAGACATCAAGAACAGCTTTAAAACTTTCCTGTGATCAGTTACTGATGTGCAGTTACCACTGTTGCATTAAACGCTAAGCTTTATTTGGCACAACAGCATCAAAACTGCAGAGCATATTTAACACCAGGTTATATCAGCCTAAAATGAGACTGGAGAAACATACCTCTATTTTTACTTGGCAGAGACATGTTGATCGGGCAGACATTCTCCAGCATAACTCTAGAATTTCCCTGAGCTAATAAAAGGAGGCTCTCCACAATGCTGACCTGGATTTCCAGTTCCAGTTTCAGAGTGCACATCCAGAACAAAAAAAGCACCCAGGAAAAAGTAAATTTCATTTTCAAGAAGAATTTGGTTACTGTTCAGGTTCTCAGACCAATATCTGCAACTAGCTAGAACTGGCAGAGAGGCAAACACAAACATAGCTCACTTCATCAGGTTTCAGGTTCCCATAGCAGTCACTAACTCAGTAAGAAAGTTAAAGTAAGACTTCCTGATGCCAGATGCTTATTTTATATTGCGGAGCAGATTGACTTGTGCTCCCGTAGAGAAGAGGCTCACACTTTATGCTGTCTTTAATGGCAAAGATATTTATAAAGCATCTTCAAAGGAAAATCTATGTACAACCAGCAGAATTATTCACTTCAACATTGGTTGGGAATGTGTAGTATTTTGAAACTTACCTGTGGGCAAGAGTAAGAGTGGAATACATGCTGCCTTTTTACCAGGGCAGCATATGGTATTTTAAATACCTGCACAGCAGAATCCTTCATTCAGGAAAAGACATACTGCACAGATCAGTTAAATAATCGAGAGAAGCCAAAAAAACGTGCAGCTGAATATGTTCTGATAACCAGATTCTTTGTGTTCATAGGTTCATTGCAAGTGTTCCTCATTTTACTCCTGCTCAGTTCGTTAATATTTACACTGTACACAGAGCTGAGATAATAGAATGGGAACTTCTGTACTATTTTTCAGTGAAGTATATTAGGAGTGTCAGTGAGAGTTAGAGGTCTGTATTGACATGTGTAGTGTGACAAATCCATAAACTGAACAGCTATCCCTGATAGCAAGAGGGATATCAGAAGTCATATTTCACTACTAAGCAGACTTGCATCTGAAATTCACTACACCTTATGAAAGCTTTTTCTTTAAATGACAGATTTCACGGTTTGCTAGGACTTTTAGGAAAGACAAAGCAACTAGAATTTCATCAGCCAGACATTGCTAGCCTAAGGCATTTTGTAAGTAGCTTTTTCTTCCTTAGAAAATCCATAAAAGATTACTTTTGAAAAAAAAAAAAAAATGGTTTAGTCTCATTAGGTCCTGTTCTGAGTTTTGGGCCTTGTAGACTGGCAAGCTAGTTCTGGTCCTGCAGAGATAAAAGGAATCATCCTTCTGAATTTCAGAGAGGAAATGCATATACATCTACAATATACACAAAGCAAAAGCTGTCCTTGAAGGAGGCAGTTCTCACATTTCTCAATGGTACATAAGCTCTTATCTGAGAGAGGTTATTATCAGTATGGTTCTATCAGAATGGTTCCTGAAGGAAGGAAAACAGCAGAAGGAACAGAAAGAAGCCTGGGTAGTAGCTTTAAGCTTTTATATCCCTACACTTGATGAGTACGTACAAAATTAGAGGCTAATTTCTAAATGTTAACTCTGATCTACACTAATCCAGCCTCTAGAAAAAAAAACTGCTCCTTTTTATTAGCCTAATATTGTTCTGCTGCTGAAACAAATCTATAACCCATGTTATCTCAACTGCCCATAAGACACCAGAAGCTCTGACTATTCCGCTGCTGAACTGTATTTATGGAGTAAAGCAAAGTCTGTAACGCTGCCAAAACTTCAGTGAAGCAAATCCTTAAATGCCATACACCATATGGTAATACAGCCAATAGCTGTAGATAAGATGAGCTACAATTTTTAATAAAAAATTCTAGCAATACCACATGATTTGATAACCCTTGAATACTTGACATACACTACCAATACCTCTTCCAGGACACATTGATGAGTATATGCAAGGTCTCTAGACTTATGGTCAGCATATAGAGGAATGTGATAGCTGCAGAACACAACTGCCTCTGTGCTAGAGTGGATGGCTAGAGTAGTCAACTTTCATTAGAAGATGAAGTACAGAGAGAGGCAATCTTACCCAGTAATGCCACAAATAGCCAAGTTTACTTCCTCTTCCTCAACGTACAAAAGGAGTTGACCTCCATAATATTGCCAGACAGGTCCCAGCAAGATCAAGGTGCAGCTGGTCACTATAACCAATCAACTCTCACAGTAGAGAACAAAGCAAACAGACTTAAGTCCCTCTAATTTGATGTCTAGTCTCTTATAGTTGATAAACATTAAGTTAGCCTGCAGTCATGCAAAATACATCTCCAGAAACCACTTCTTGAGGCAGACTGTACTTAAGGGAATAACAGCATCATAGGGATGGTTATCTTGCTATTGAAATAAAATCTTAATTTTGGGGAAGAGATTAAAACATCAGTCTAGTATCTCCTTATCTCCTGCACTTGGTTTACAATCTGCATCTTCTCAGTCTTCAATATCAAACTTAAAAGTATTTAACTTTAAATGAATACAGAAACATCCCTGAAGAACAATTCTCCACAAGATCAGATCTAACATCACACATACCTTTAACAGTGATGCACAATATTCCCTCATTCTGAAACTAGTACCAAAATTTACTGCATCATACCTATTTACAGCTTGCACCAGAAGTCTTAGCACAAATGTTACTTTCACACATGCTAGATGTTTCTTTGCTGGAACTTGGGCGTAGAACTATACCAGATCACTCAACAGAGCCTCCTCAACTCCAGCAGAACAGGTTTCTCTTCCTGAATTAGGTACCGTTTAGAACTGCTCAACCAGAACTTGTTCATCCTCACATACTTGAGTAGGACAGACTCATCAGTTACTTGTCAGAAACCTGCCATTCCACTGCAAACTAAGATAATATGCTGGTAGTCTAAAGGTCATAATACTAATAAATGACCAGGGCTTAAAATAGGAACTGTCACAAGCACACAAGCATAAGGCTATTTTTCTAAAAAGAGTTGCACTTACATTTACTTCTGGGACACCTAAAGGGAAAGTCTTGACTGTTCACTCCCCCCTAGTTAGGTTTGGAGTGCAAAATATTAAGCAAATATTAGCATTTTCTCATAAAACTTATCTTACAGCAATATCTTCTTCACTGACATACTCAAACCAGGAGCATGGCTAACACTATCACTGCCCAGCATCATCCTGTTGTGTTTTTTTTTTTGTTTGTTTGTTTGTTTTTTCCCATTTGTCAGATTCTGCAGCTTATGCATTTACCATATTTACTGGAGGTAGAAAAGACAATTCAACACAGAAAGTTCAGGAATGTTAAGGAATTACAGAAAGTAACCAGAATATACAGTGAATGCATTTGTCCCTCAAAAGTTTCTTCACTGAATACAATTCCCAACTTGTAATTCCACGTTTGACCAGTTTTTGAAACCAGGCAAGAAAAAAGTACTTGGACCTCTCTTGGCATTATCTACAGTTACTGTTGTACTTAACTGTCTATCACGTCTTCTTCCAATCAACACCTGTACCTAACACAAAGTCATCCAGTTGATTTATGAGCACCTCGTGCAATGCACGTTTGCGCTTTATAATCTCTACAGCCCAACTTTGTTGATTTAAATCCATACAAAAGAAAACACCTGACAGCCTTAAGACTCTAGGAACATACCTAGACTACTGTCCGTCTTCTCTTTCAGAAAATTATAATAAGCCTAGCAGTCACTTAAACTGCACATTCCAACAAGGAAGCTGGTATCAAAACTTTCCACATTAGGGCCTCCTACCATTAAAGCATGAACTGAATGCTCAGCTGAAAACACTATGGAAAATTCTTCACCTTCACAGCAAGATATGGCAGTCATATGTTCAATCTGAGGTGTGGGAAGAAAGGACTGGAAATTGTCAATGAGATTTTTTCTTGATAGGAAGATTTATGAAGAGATTATTATTCCGCTTAATTAGCTACTGTTAACCTGGTGCTTTATATCTTATTACATCTAAGTACTACCACAAAGGGTACCGAAGGTTTAGGATGGAATTAAGACACATTTCATTTAATGAAAAATATTTAATTTCAGTAATTTTTCTGAGCAGAGGAAGTTATTAATTTGCTACAGCAGCTTAGGGACAGTATCATTAACTGTTGTTGTTTTAGTTGAGGTTTTGAATGGCATGATAATATCTGCTTAATAGTTTAACAAATTAAAAAAAAACTTACAATGTCACTGCCGGAGAGTGATGATACAGAAGACGCAGATGAGCCAGAGGATAACTGTTGTGTATTAGCTAGCGACAAAGCCAAGCGTTGGTTGTAAGATGGTTCAGAGTCTCTGTTCTGTTGCTGTTCTCCATTGCACGGAGCTATCTGGTCTCTTATTTTCAACCTATTATCTGTTGACAGAAAACATAAGCATCAATCAAAACCACAGAATACAATATATGAACCCTGAAGTCTAAACTTCCATTTAACAAGCCAACAAACTGAAGAACAGCCTCAGAAAATGTCTTGGATTAGAAAGTTACAAATCCCTTTTATTTTTTCCTTACATACCTGAAATAGCAATTAATTTCTAGGCATGGGTATTTTGAATTGCACCAAATGCAAGAAAAAATGATTTAGTTGGTTTCAAAGATTTCTGCTATACCTACCAAGTTCAGGTGATAAATTAATTTTGCTCCCCCACTTCTTTTTAATCCAGGCCCTGTAGTCAATCACTTCTTGGGTCACTTTGATGATTCTACCTAATGTGCTAAAAAAATTTTTAAATTAAGTATTAAAGACTGTTGGTTACATACTTGCAAGCATTTCAAAAAGCAATAAAATTACATTAAATCAGTTTAAGATATTCCTAACCAAAGAATTTTTGAAGTTTTGTTTTCTTAGATCACCATTTGGGCCTCTGAAGAATCACACTTTTAAACTAGAATATTACTCATCTTCCACCCTACTAACATGCAAGCACTGAAACAGGTAAGATTTTTACTCTTTCTAAATGGAAAGCATCTTAATTACCAAGAATATACATGCAGATAATAGTGTATTTGATAAAAGCAATTTACATGTTCTTGCATTTCTCCAAACAAGAAGTATTTTATCACTGAATCTCAATTGGATGTTTTTGGATACACTGAAGACACTGATAACCCAGCCCCCTCAAACGATCATCACACTGAATAGAAAGACTCTCAATAGTCCTTCTGTACAGATTTACAAGACATCTTCAAAGATCCACACAATTATAAAGGAAGTACCATGGATCGTGAGGTAGTGGAAACAAGACACTGGCTCCAAAACCCAAATAAGTTAGAATTTAAGGAAATTCTCAAAGGTACCTGGTTCGGAGAAAAAGCTGACCTGGTCCTATTACCCTCTTAACTTGTGACCAGTTGTCAACAAGTACAGAGCAGTATTTTACAGTATATTTTCTCAACTTTCAGTTACGTGAACTGTACATCAGGAGGATCTGTGTCTTGATTTAAGGATTTAAGGATTTAACTTCCAAGCTTTCCTTCCAATGGTGGCTGGCAGCTGAAATAATTTATGAACTCCATGATCAAGATCCATGAAGGACTGACTAGCGTACAAAAGGAAGCTGTGAAAAGTTACCGTCTTGGAGAGGTAAAAGTTATTTTAATTCTAAAAATCTTCAACAGTTGTAATAAAGCTTATTCTTCATTTCGCATCATAAAGGTACACTGTACCTTTATTGGAATTTTCATTTGAGGTGTGTAATGGGGGGGGGCATGCATAGTCTAAATGCATTTACACTCATTTACACTACCTTTATTAGGTCATTTTAGAGTAACTCTTTAAAAAGGAAGAGTAGTTCTCCTTCTGGATTAGGGATTATAAATTCATTGCAAGACCAAATACTACCTGTTCCACATTTAGACTTCCAACTTTGAAGACATCAGTACTGAAACAGGCAGCCCTGCCCTTAAAGCAAACATTGGACCAAATGATATTATCTATGTTATAACTCCAATAGGTGAAGGCAATCCTTAGGGACCGAATGAGTATCACCTACCGTTCTCCTATGTAACGCAGATAAATGAAACGATGCATGCTGGAAAACCATCTTGAATTTTACATGCAGAATTAAATGCTTTGACATGATTGCCACCATTGGGAATTATTTGGAAACTACAGCTCATTAGTTAAGTAGAGCACGTTAAAAAATGAACACAACAAAACAGTAGTATTTTGTCAGTGTACAATCCCACAACATAATAGCATTTTAAATACTTAAAGCAATTCTGGTTTCTTAGTCTCAAAAAGTACGTTAAACCAGAGGAGTAATTTTGAAGAACTGAAGACCAGGACAACCCATACTACGAAGAATCAGCTGTGGCCCTGAAGCTGCAGTTCCCCAGACAAACTCAAACATACAAATGCTGGGTAGCTCTTTAGCACTGGGACAAAGGAGGAAATCTCATGCTGTTTCATCTGAGCATGCCTTCAAGCAGACTTAAGCTTTTTCTAAGCTTTTACTCCAGGATGTCCCATACATTTCACAGCTATTACCAGCAGTGGTCTTCAAAACAGAAAAATGATAATGGACCTAATAACACACTTATGGAAAAGGAGTTTGTCACGCCTGAAACATCTTGGAGTACATTCCACCTAGTAGTTTAGTAGTCATGCTTTCATATACTAGAAAGTGAGTAACAGAAGATGGCATTTTTATTTATTTATTTATTTTAATCTGTGGAAGACTGCTATATGAAAAATGCCTGGTATCACAGGTGTAAAAGGTGAAACTAGGGCTACGCCAAGAACTGTGGCAAAGCCTGGGAATTTCTTTTCTCACTAGCTCCTTTTGCAGAGGACAGAGCTTGAAGCCCCAAACTCTAATTTTTTGGAAGCAAGTCAGAAAAATAGTAAATTTACTTATGTATCAAGAATTTGAAGGCTGATCCATACTACATTACTTGCACACTAAAACTAAGTTTTATGACACATCAGACACTAAAAGCTGATTAAGTCTACACTGCCATATACTTAATGCAGCAGCAAAAAATGAAAAAGCAGGTGTGATCAGAACAGATACTTTTCCCTTTCATTACATGTAGGACTCAAGCACATGTATATAAGTGTTTAAAAACTGTGCTTTTATCTGATTTCAACACTGCAAATGCTTAGGAACAAAGAGTAGCTATTGACCTACCCAGCCTCTAGTACAGAGTATATTCCACACTCCTTTTTGCCTGAGGCCAGAGTGAGACATTCCCACAACTATACAAAGATGTTTGTTTAGAAAAGGGGGAAAAACGCCAAGTTAGCTTGTTGGACAGCTCTCCCATGAAAGATGCCCCCTTACACTTTTTCCCTGATTATCATCAAATAGTAAAAACAATGACAAGCTATTTGCATACCCAGTTTATTTTAAAAGAGCCTAGAATCTCCACTTTTCCACACCACACAGCTTTGTCACGCTAATGCTGATTCAACTGTAAGCCCTGAGTTCACAAGGACACTTTCTAGCTGTCACTAAGGCACAACCATGATGCAAATCAATCTTAAGATCTCTCTTTAAAGGCTCAAGTTGCTGATGCAAGTCTCAATGAGATCCTGTATCTAATGCTCCAGCCAAGCTCTACATGAACAAGTCCCTCAGCAAGAAAAAAACATTGCCTGTGAAAGATGAGTCAAAATAACTTTTCAGTAGGCCTTAACTTAGGAAACATCTCCCTGATACTAGAAGAGTAACAATCTAAAGCAGACTAATAAGCATCTGAGGAAGACCTGCTTGAGCAGAAGGATAAGAAAAAGCTAAAACATTTAGCCAGACAAATACTCTGCATAGGGAAAGCTGATATTGCTGATACCTCAAGAGACAGCATGCATTCTAGGGATGGCCACCACCCAGCATTCATGACATGAAGCAGAGAAAGAACTGTTTCAGATAGAAAATGTTCAGATAAAACTATCAGCAGATCTAGTAGATAAATTTAACATTTCCTTTGACAGTACCAGGAGCTATCTTGGCCAACCAGGAGCAAACCTAACACACAGGCCTGCCAGCAGTTAGTGGACCAAGAACACACCAAACAGCTTTCAAGCACAAAGCTAGAAAAAACACTTTATTCATGGCACAAGACTATTGTTGTTAAGATTGTCACCTACAAAAGACAATTCCAGACACAGAGCAGCAAAACCTTGCCAAGGCTTCCTGCAACTCTGTCCCATTGGCTTAATAGTCCCTTTCCCTCATCCACCACTCATACAGAATCACAGAATTTCTAGGTTGGAAGAGACCTCAAGATCATCGAGTCCAACCTCTAACCTAACACTAAGAGTCCCCACTAAACCATATCCCTAAGCTCTACATCTAAACGTCTTTTGAAGACTTCCAGGGATGGTGACTCCACCACCTCCCTGGGCAGCCTGTTCCAATGTCTAACAACCCTTTCAGTAAAGAAGTTCTTCCTAAGATCCAACCTAAAACTCCCCTGGCGCAACTTAAGCCCATTCCCCCTCGTCCTAGTCACCAGGCACCATACGGCTCCAGTATGAAAGAACTGGTTAGGAACCTAGAATCCTAGAAACCGAAGAAAGGTTTCACAAGTCTTAGTTATTATACTGAAAGGCCACATCACAGCAGAACCTGACTTCCACTTAAAGTTCTATTAGAATTAAAGCCCTATTAAAGTTAAATTTGGCCAGGGACATCAAAGGCCACAATAAAGGCTTCTATAGGTACATCAGCGATACAAGGAAGATGAGGGAAATTGTGGGCCCTCTCCAGAAGGAAAGAGGAGACCTCGTTACCTAGGATATGTAGAAGGCTGAGGTACTCAATGATTTGTTTGCCTCAGTCTTCACCAGCAAAAGCTCTAGCTCTAGCTGGGGCTTCAGGCCCCAGAAGGCAAAGTTAGGGACTGGGAGGATGAAGGACCACCCTGTGTAGGAAGAGACCAGGTTCAAAACCACCTAAGGAACCTAAAGGTGCACAAGTCCATGGGACCTCATGAGATACATTCATGGGTCCAGAGGGAACTGGCAGATGAAGTTGCTAAGCCACTATCCATCACAGGTGAGAAGTTGTGGCAATCTGGTGAAGAATCTACTGACTCAAAAAGGAGAAACACAGCCCTCGTTTTTTAAAAAAAGGAAACAAAGAAGACCCTGGGAAATATAGGCCAGTCAGTCTTACATCTGTGCGCAGCAAGATCATGTAGCAGATCCTCCTGGAAACTATGCTAAGGTGCACAGAAAATAAGGAGGTGATTGGTGACAGCCAACATGGCTTCTCTAAGGGCAGATTGTGCTTGTCTGATTTGGTGGACTTCTATGACGAGGTGATAGCATTAGTGGATAGGGGAAGAGCAGCTGACATCTACCTGGACTTGCATTTGACACTGTCCCACATGATATCTTCATCTCTAAATTGAAGAGACATGGGTTTGGTAGATGGATCACTCAGTGGGTAAGGAATTGGCTGAATGGTCACACCCAAAGTCACAGTTAACAGCTCAATGTCCATGTAGAGATCAGTAATGAGTGGTGTTCCTCAGGGGTCAGTATTGAGAGCTGCACTGTTTAACATCTTTGTCAGCAACACAGACAGTTGGATCCTCATCATGTTTGACAGTGACACCAAATTGTTTGGTGTGGTTGACATGCTGGAGGAAAGGAATGCCATCCAGAGGGACCTTAACAAGTTTGAGGTGGACCCGCGCAAACCTCATGAGGTTCAACAAGGTCAAGCACAAGGTTCTGTTCTTGAGCCAGGTGAACACCAAGCAAAAATAAAGGATGGAAAGAAAATGGATTAAGAGCAGCCCCAAGGAGAAGGACCTGGGGGGTACTGGTTGACAACAAGCTCAACAAGAGCTAGTAATGTGGCTTCTAACCCAGAAAGCCAATTGCATCCTGAGCTATGTCAATAGAAACACAGCCAGCAAGCTGAGGGAAGTGATTTTGCTGTGCTCTCATGAAACTCAACTTTGACTATTGCATTCAGCTCCGTGGCCCCCAGCAAAAGAAGGACATGGACCTATTAGAAAAAGTCCAAAGCAGGGCCACAAAGATGATCAGTGGGATGGAGCACCCCTCCTATGAAGAGGGGCTGAGGGAGTTGGAGTTGTTCGGCCTGGAGAAGAGAAGGCTGTGGGGAGACCTTGCAGCAGCCTGCTAGGACCTAAAGGGGGCCTACAAGAAAACTGGGGAAGGACTCTTAAGACAAAGAATATTGGTTTTAAACTAGAAAAGGGTAGATTTAAATTAGGTATTAGGTTAAACTAGATATTAGGAAAAAATTTTTCCCATAAGGGTGGTGAGGCCTTGGCACAGGCTGCCCAGAGAAGCTGTGGATGCCCCATCCCTGGAGGTGTTCAAGGCCAGGCTGGATGGGGCTTTGGGCAACCTGCTCTGGTGGGAGGTGTCCCTGCCCATGGCAGGGGTGTGGAACTGGGTGATCTTTAAGGCCCCTTCCAACCCAAACCATTCAGTGATTCCTCATTTCACGTGACATCTGCTCCCAAATATGGAGGCATATGGCTATGCTGCTGTTTAGAGATGCAGTCTGAGCACACATTTATACCTCAACCATATGACAAGCTAGTATGTAAGCCAGTATCTGATCTACAGACACGTTATTACTGCAAGGATGAATTCATGTCACATCCAGATATTTATTTCCAGCATAATTTATGGCTATCAAACAGAATATCACTCTTCCATCTTATCTCAAATTCCTCCTGCTTCTCTTGCTTCTGATCTGCCCATCAAGTAGCCACAATGCAAACTGGATCAGCTTCTTGAGATGATAGAAATGCTGATGTATTTGCTTTCATTCAGACCAGGGTTCATCTGACTTACAGTGATCCTGCAGTCAGAAGGTATCTAACTCGAGGCAAAAGTCAGGAATATGTAGATTGAGAAGGAAGAAATTGAGTTCATAACAGGATATAGTCCATGTGTGTGTGTGTCTGTGTTATACCTTGTCTAGCCTATTTCCTACTAGGAAAACCTCTCCTTACAAGATTATGGGAATCAGATTGGTCTAAAAATGTTCTGTCTAAAAATCTTCTGATCCACTGACCTCTCCCTGAGGCATTCTAGTAAAATAATGTGTGAGGATGATTAGGGACAAAAAGACGTTAAGGTAATTCCTGTGGCTTTGAATCACTACCTTCAGGACTCAGCTGATTAGTGTTTCCATTCAGTGTAGAACCAAAACACAATGAGAAGGTCAGACAAATGATAGCTTTCATCTCCCAGGACACTTCAAATATTGTATTTGGAAGCATGAGTAGGACAACAGAGAGTAATTTGAATTCACTGTTCTGAGGGTTATGTTAGTATAGAACAGACAAGAATAAGACCTATGCTGAAGGATGTAAAGTCTGACTTTTTTTTTTCTTTTTTGAAATAGAGAATAATAGAAGCAGCAGTTGACTAAAAAGCCCTAAATTACCTTAGGCCTGTGCTCCTTTGAGTTGGACTGACCCTGAAAAAGGGCAGTAATGATCACTATGAAACATTTGAAAGCTACTGAGATGACCATCTCCAAAACAGGACTGCATACACGAGATGTACATAGAAGTTTTCCCTGGAAAGAGTTGATATGAATTGAAACCCACCAGGCAGTCCAAGAACAGTTCTTCACGATTAAGGGAAAGATAGCCCCAATTATGACAGCACTGAAAAAGTCAGCCTTTGCATTTAGTATCCTGCAAGTTCCTACCCTTTCAAGTGTTCATTTAGTATTTATTGATTCTTTTAGTAAAATGTCACATAGCTATCACTTCTCTTAAAGAAATTCCCCTGCTTAGTTTAACCTGCCACTAACAAGCCTAGAAAAAGGAGAAAATAGATCATAATAAAGGGCTCCTGCAGGGCTAGGGCTTTAGGTCAGGCCACTGGAAAAAGTCTTTATACCAAGCCTGGACAACTCTGCCTAACAGGTAGAAGAAGGATCTGAAAAACACCTGGGTTGCCCAGACACATTCAGTTTAACTAAAAACTGAAACTGAACATGGAGTGCTGTTGAGTTTCTACAGCAAGCTTGGTACTGAACAGCACATCATCCACCTACAGGTCCCGGTGCTAGGGAAACTACTTGAAACCAGGACTTCATTGAGAGCGTCTCCTCTTATGGCACCATTCCTTCTGATAAAATAGCAAGTCATGCATGTGACAAGCTCTGAGACAGGTATCACAAGCACAGACAGCCCAAACTAGCAGAAAAACAGGTCAGATGTACAGCACCTGCTGAAACACAGCTGCTGAGACTTCTCAAGTCTGAAACTGTGACAGAATTCAAACATTTCTCTAAATACAGGAAGTATACATGTTGATGACATCTGAGACTTGCATTAAATGCACTTACAAACATACTTTCTGATATCTAATATAAATACAGGCACCGCATAAGAGAACGACCACATCCTTTGAAGAACCATAGAGAAGTTAATGAAGACTAGGGCCCAAGACAAGCAAAACTTCAGATATCCCTAGGTTGTTCTACCTATACTTACATAACTATTTGTACAGAAGGTTAGGATTAAATATCACATGGTAGAGCAGATACATGAATGAAAAGGCATGTCAAACATGTTCTATTTGTTTTCTTTCTCCCTCTCCTCATCAAAAAAAAAAAAACACAAAGTTAGCAAAGGTGAAAGCTTGAGAGCTGAGAACACAATAAGCTGTACAGTGTTTCTAAGACATGAAACTGTGCTAAAAATGGCATATCTAGAAGTATTCTTTTAATGGCAGTTCTAACGTTATGGCCAAACTGAATTGATTCTAACAGCTTACTACATGTCAAGCCTTTTAGAACAATTTATGGGAGCACGTATTAAAGAATAAGATAAGTTTCTAGTCTTGCCTAGTTTTATATATAAAACTTGGTTCACACCCATTTCTCCGCCATAGGACAAACAGAGAAATCATACCAAACGTTAAAACCAGCAGCCCTTCCTTTGAAATATTTTAGGCAGAGTGTTTGTAGAAAGACCAATTATCCTTTGGGTCCCCTTCACACCAGGAGAACCGCACGCTAGAATCATCCTGTTTTGTCATGCTGTCTTTATTTCAGGGCTGCACATGAAGGTATTTAACTCATAGCACTGGGCCAGCCTAAATTTCTGGGCAGACGTCAATACAGCTGCAGTTAAATATTAAATAGCAATATACCTTTTATTGATTAGACCCAAACAATTCCTAAATAATTACACAAACAAACAATATTCAAAAAGTGAACTAATTACCTCTCAGAATCTCTATTTGGATATGATCTTGCAAGTGGTGATACTGCATGGCTAAGAACAATGTAGGCATAATCAAAAACTTGTTTCACTTGCATGGCACCGTAAGAGCTTCTGCCAACGTCGTTTCCTGAAATAATGTAACAGTGATCAGATCATTTTAATAAATATCAGTAACCGAAAGTTATTAGCACTTAGAGCTCAGAAGCCTTAACAATACAACTTAACTCTATTTAAACTGGTCAGCCCCTTCTATTCATGTCAGGAACAACTAAGTTGTGCCAATCTCAATAAGGGAAACTAGCCTTAAGAATGATGCTCAACATCATGCATTCAATACAGCATTTGTAAAATGTACCAGAGCCTGAAAGACAGAAAAGGTAACTATAAAAAAAGCTTTAAGCTGATCTCTAACAGGGAACATACCAAGGTCAAAGCATGTCTCACTTACCAGTAGAGTGTTTGCAGACCAAATTCAGCTTAGAATTCCACTTGTGCAACCACCTTATCTTCATACGGCCAGGTATATTTATACCAACCCTACTTAAGCTTTCCAAAGCTACAGCTGAATAAAATACAGATTGCTCATCTCCACAGGATAAACCAGTTTCTCAAAATCTTTATCATCCAGGATTTCCAGAATTTTGTACAGTATTGTTTTTGATCAAGTTAGTGGTACTTTTTGACTGCCCCTCTTTAAACAGGGGTGACTTTTATAGCAGAATTCCTTCCAAACCTCCACCACTACTTGAGAAGAACTGCAGAAGTTATGATGATGCTAAAGCTGCTTTATCAGTGACATTGCACAAGCATCAGTTTTCTGTTTGATGCCTAGAAAGATCTTACCAGTACTAGCAAGAAATCATGTGGGATTTTTTTTTGTAGATATATTTGGCACCAGACACCAAAGCTTCACTGTCACCACTCAATTTAAGGAACACTTAAAAACAACTTCCTCCAAATTGCATGTGCAAAACACAGATTAGATCTTGAGTGGGTAGAAAGCTGCTTACAGTAAAAGGTTCCCTCCTTCAGAATGATACTTGAAATGCTGTGAGAACACTGGAAATGGATGAACCGCTAAAAGTAGTTATTTTAAGCTTGCAAATCAAATCAGGGTCCACAAACAAGTTATAATGAAAAATCCTCTTTTAAAATTGATAGGTAAAGGATTGAGTCTATCCTTTGGAGGCTGAATTTGACATTAGAGGAACCCTTCGCTCACTGAAATATTTTGTCCAGCAAGCCATTATAGATAAATATGCCAACATCTGCCACCCAGGGTGAAAAGCAGCCTTGGCTTTACTACTTGACAACACATATTAGCCCTTCAAGATTCTCCAACAATGACGCCACTTAAATCGGAAAGGGTAATCAATGAAAATAGATGTGGAATATAAAAGCATTTGGGGAAGACAGAGTTTCTTCGATAACATATATTGTTAAGTAGAAGTTGATCAAGAAGAGACTTCATGTTTACTGAAGTAACTGAGTATCTCACTCTGAATGTCCTGTCACAGTATCCAGCAGCTGCTAGACTCAAAATTAGAGAAGTCTCTTTAAATGGCATATTTACAACTGGACTCTATCCTAAAGTAGAAACAGAAGCCAATGTAGGCCTTGGAAAGTGAATCTCTGAAAAACTACGCTGTAGTTCAGTGTTTCACTGCAAAGTAGGCATCGGAGACTTCCCAAAGGATTTTGTCTAAAGACAGCTAAATAGAGACAAGGGAAGTTCAGTGGTCAAGAAACCAAAATATGAACGTGTTAATACAACTAGAAAAAACAGATGAATTCAGTACAAGTTCTCCAGGGAAAGAACTGTCCTGCAACAATACCACCTTCCACTTCCACACACAAAAGGTACATACAAAATAGAACTAAGTTGAAAAGCAATAAACAGAAACAATATTTACAAGTGGCTAAACACACGCAATTGCACCTACCACTCAATTTACATAACAGGAATTGAGAATGTACTGTCAAATTGCATTAGTGTAGTCTAACATAGTGCTAAGGCAACTACATTTGATGTGCATCATTAAAGGAGCTACACTAAAATGAAGACACTACTGCTACTTATTATTGCTTCTGCTCTTATGCCAGCAAAAGAAATCAGAAACCATTCCTCATCCACTTACAGCAAACTCAGGCAGTTTAGTTTAAACCACCAAACTGTGTATGAATCTTGATTGAAGCAGATGTGAGTAAAGGCAGGATAGCTCATGCCAAAGCATGCACAGGTTCTTGGATTGCCTCATTCTCCGCCTGTAATTAGTTCATTAAGAAGTCTGAATAAGAAGTTTTATTCAGTTATAGTCCATAGGACTTCTGACTTGCACTGCAGCTGAAAAGCAGATATGGAAGCCAAAGCTACGCAAGCTACTATGAACAGTACCAGTCAAGCCTGCATAGAAGGTGACCCTACTCAATCCAGAGAGTAACATATTAGAGAAGCCGGAAGATCATGCATGTAGCAGTTCTGAACTCTAAAAAATAAAATAAAAGAAGAAGATTCTTTAGGGAATAGGTTTTCTTTGTGAGATTGTTCTCATTAACACATCACCTCTACATACCTAGGCAGCCTTTCAACACAATCTAGACCGAACAATTAAAGCACATACTCAAATGCTTTCACTCTTAAAAAGCCAGCCTTCAACTCTGATATAAACATCAGAGGATATCAATGGTGTATAATTCCACATATAACTCAATCCTTATTTTTTTGTGTGTGAAGCACGGCTTCATCCCTGAAGGAGCAGGTCTGAGACTTCCATCAGTAGCTATCAGTATTATCACTATCAAGTAGCCTTCCATTACCTGAAACAGTTTTAAGGACATAGTCTGGAAAATCAAAGGTAAGACCATGAGCTAGGACTGAAGCAAATTTGTTTGCGTTAAGCTCTTGCCTACTGTACACCTTTCTGCAACATTCATGAAGAGGTTGTTTCAGCTGCTAGCCTCAAGGTATTTGCATTTTTTTTTTTTTTAATAAATGTATGCACTTTATACACACACGCACATATTCACAGGTTCTAATGACAAATAACAGATACTGAAAAGCTGTGATTAATGTCTTTGGACACTCACTAAGGCTAGAAAAGAATCCCAACTGTTGTTGCTATCCCAAAGCCAGTTACTTCCTGCATTTGTGGCCTATCAAAATGCAGAAGCAAGCAACATGAAGCATAATCAGTCCTGTAAACAGTCCCTTCAAGAAAACCATATAAAAATTAACCTTTAGAACTTTGCTATAGGCACTAGTAAAGTAACCAGCCTTCTCTTGAAGAGAACAGCAGAGAGGAAGCTCATAGTCAGACAATGACAGCTACACTTGTTGCTGCCAATCTGAACCAAGATCAAAATCACTTCTGTCATGAGCATCAAAAATGGGACTGAAGAACCTTGACGTTCCCTTCAGATAAAATCACAAACTAATAAGCTTCTCTAATAACTTGCTGAATAAATTCAAAGATTGTTTTAAAACCACAGATGAAAGATTTGAGCTACAACCAGAGTCCTGTATTCCAGGACAGGATATGGGTGGATCAATTACATACATACGAGCCTCTTCTAGGATGATAGCACCTACTCTGCTCCAACATGTGCCCATGAGCAGACTTCCTGAGTGCCTGACTCTGCAATTCTCCTAAAAGGATGCTTTTACTTTTAACACAAAGGATGACTGTTTCCAGAAACTGTAACAGTAGCAGTTAAAAGATGTTTACACAAACTCCTTTCCTTGGAGAAGAGGGAGATATTTTCATCTCATTGCCCTGCCCTAAGACACTCCTAACTCGAGATGAAGAGCCTTGAGGTATTTAAGAAGATCAGATAGAAACTATCGCTAAATTGCATCACAGGATAGATAATTCTGGCATCTCAAATCCAAGTTTCAACAGACTTCCCACTTCAAGCGTTGACTCTCAATGTCTTTCTTGGTGTCTCTTTGATCTCAAATCAAAGAAATTATAATCCTCTAGCGCCCAATAAAGTCTTGAGGCTCTCAAAGAAAACTCTGTAGCACCCAGGAGAATCTTTTCTGAGTTAAACCCACTACAACCAGAACTGATGTCTGTTCCTTCTAGATTTAGAACAGGATTTCCTAAGCAGGAAGAACCAAACTATGACATCTTTTATCTGTTAGCCAGACATCAGTTTACGCTAAATGAAAAACAATTCCGCAGACTTAAATGAATTAATCTCATTGAACTTTATCCCGTCGCTCCCTACAGCTATGCTACCTTTCACCACCCTACTGCACAACTTATGCCTACACCCATAAGAGGGCCTTTTAAACTGTTTAGATAATCTAAATAAATTGAAAGGGTTTTTTGCATCCCTGTATTTTGTCTGACTTCTGGATTAAGAAGTCACCTTGCAAGGTCTTCTTGTAGAGCTTAACCAGAACTTTACAGAAAGCTACAATCAAGCTGCAAAAGGACTCCCCAAAAAGATTAAGAACTAGTGCATGAAGCGTATAAACAGATTTTGGGGAAAACTCCACAGCAGCTTATGTTAACCTAGGTTAAGGAACAGCTATGTCCTCCCTTTCTCAAGATATTTGTTCCTTTCTCCTTTTCAGTGGCAACAACAAACATCACAGAGTTAGCCACTGAGCAGATCTGAGCACAAACTAACCAAGCAAAGGTGATGACCTGTCAGCTGAGCAAGGACCTGAACCCTTGGGAAAGGGTTTTGTACTGAAACAAGCAGTTACAAGACTAAAATAAAATCTAGATGTTATCTACATTACCTTACACTCAATAGGTACTTTGAGACACTCTAAGAATAGGTAAATACACCTAAATCAAAAGGGGCTGTATTCATGAGATCCGATTCGAAGTGCCACCCCTACACATTCTGTAAAGCTTTCCTCCTAGTTCCATCAGGCAAGTTCTGCAGCTCTATGGTAGCTACCAAAAAATATCTGACCACTGTGTCCCAAAGGGAACATTTATTTCAAGTCATCCACTTCAATCTGCCTTGCCAAAACACTTTCTCCTAGAAAAGCAACATTATCTCAGCTAAAACGTAGTTCTTACCAGCTCTTTGAGAGCACACAACTATGTATCTTCCTTACAAATCACAGTTCTCTTCCTTTAGTCTTCAGCCAGTAAGACAGGACAGAACTGGAAGTCCAGGTAAGGGTTTTGGTTCTAAAGCAACATAGTCATGCTGCCATCAAAACTGATTTTCAGGCAAGTGCACAGCTACTGCATGACAACTCAGTGTGATACAGATATTCTCCCAATATCACACTTATGCCTGGCCAAGTGCAAGAGTCATGATGGACACAAAATCAAAGCTACATACCCATCAGACGTAGCTAGAAACACGAGTATCTTAGCACACAGCCTGTTCTAGAGAAGCATGAATATTCAGTACACAAGTATTTAGGAAGGAGCCAAGCTTCAGCTCCTGATCCATGGTATTTGCTTTAAAAGTGCTATACATAAGCAGTCTACCCACTAAATGTGACAGTCTGGAGTTTGAGTGCCAATTACATCCCAAAAATACTAAAGCTGAAGTCCAAATTAACCAGAACTTGATTTTGTTAAAAAGCCATTCTGAAATTCCAGCCACTTAGGCTAGTCTCAGTAGAATGCAAACTGAGCACTACTAGTTGGCAATTTACAGGAACTTAACCAAAATTAATCTTTATTACTCTGAACATTCCTGAATCAAAAGCAAAACTTCAGGAAAAAAGTATTTTAAATTACTTTCAAATGTACATGCAACCAAACCTGACTTTCTCTGAAGGTCCCTGTGCAATGCAAAAGCCAGTTTTGCAAACCAGACTCTCCACACCAACATAATACTCCAGCCATTCCCTGGCTACACATTTATGGCCATGTGCCCGTGTTTCTGTGCGGTCTCCAGTGTACTGCCCTGCAGGGTAGGTACTTCATCTACTGCATTTCATTTCCATGTGGTACAATATATCTGTAGCATAGTACCATAGACTGCAGCAGGAAAAGCTACACCTTCCTTTCTCATTCTTTTGTAGCAAAGAATGGGGAGTTGTTCCTTCCAACAACTCCCCTTCCAGGATTTCCTGGACCTCTTTCCTTCATTACCCCTCAGCACTGCTAGAGAACCTTATTATAAGCCCAACACATTTCTGAATCTCCTATGCATTATTTATCTGCACTGTTTGTGTGCAATCCAGCTTACTCAGGCTAGCAATCTTTACAAAATTCAGTTCCTTATCCCTTGGCTCACCTCCACAGCTGTACCTCACCAGCAGGAAGTCTTTTCTCCAAGCAGATTTAACACATTTAACAGACTTTAGGAACTCTAAAATAAGTTTGAGAGTACGAGTTGAGACAGAGCTCCAGAACAGAGCAAGAAGTGCAGTCTTACCAGGCAGCAGAGGATCTTCAATACATAGCATGGATGGTCTGTATCCATTAGTCATGACTTTCATGATTTCTTCTTTGGCAATATAGGCACCTCCAGTTTTTTATTCTAATACCAGTTTTCAAGTAGTTAAAATTCCTTCCGTAGAGTTCAAAGAATTCTATCAGAAGCATTCCAAGGTTTTCATCAGCTCTTCTGGCATCGATTCTTGGATGCAGCTGTGACAGAACAGTTACTAATTATTAAAAATGTATGCTTGTCAGACCATAGCAGTACAACAAAAAGCTCTCATTTAAACATCCAAGTATAATCTCTTTACCCCAGTCTGAATTAAGTCATGTACTTACACTACTTTCATGTAACCAAAAGGGGGCAGCACTTCAGCAGCATATAGAGGCCAAAAAATTCTTTCTTACCTCCTCCAACTTTTTATGGATTAGTAAATTCTTGTTTCTAAGCCAAAAGCAATAAAGCACTACATGCCACATTAAGGCTTAGTAACAGAGTAATAGCTGATTTTTTTTTTTTTTTTTTTAAAAGAAAAATCCACCAGGCTTAATGCTTTCAGAAGCATAAGAAACATCTACCCCAACTGAACCGGGGTTCTTTTCTCAGTCTTCATATTATATGTTGTATATTATCTGTAGTTGTATTTCATTTAATCACTAGCAGCAGTGATACACAGGTTTTTCCATTATCAGAGGTGTTGAGACATTAACATTGTACTTCATACTCCCACAAAGCTTACTGTAACAAAAATTGATTGGAAGTAGTAACAGCTCATTAATGATCTCATGAGTAATTACCTCAAATACTTGCCCGTTTTAAGCATGTTAAAGCTTAACTAATGAACATAATTAGAAATCGACCATTTAATTTCTTAATTTTAACAAGCATCAAAATCAGCTACTATCCACACTCAGTAGCAGTAGCCTAAGGAAGTAACAGACAAACTGTGTCCTACCAGATTTAGCATCAGTAATATCATTCAGCGTTAGGACTGGAATAGACATGGGAAAGCACCGTAACCCTCATGACATGACCTGTTATAGAAAGCAATGCACCACCTCTATGCTGTTAACAAGTCTCCTGCTGCTGTCTCAGTTCACACAGTGAACAGATCTTACGTTTGAGAGGTAGTCTATAGGAGCTGTCAATGATCAAACACCTAGAATCATAGCAAAATAAGGCTGTGCATTGCTATGGCATTGTAAAGAAACAGTATTTTCCATAACAGGGCCTAGTGACAGAAACAGAAATATTTTAAAGAACATAAGCAAATAAGAAACCGACTTACCTGCAGGAAACTAATTGCCATTAAAATTAGGCTGTAAGAGCTAATTCCACCAGTAAAAACTTCATTCAAGTCCCTCTGAAGTAGGAACTGTTTTAATACTAAAATCAAATAAGGCAGCAACGAGTATTTCTGCAAAGCAAAATAATTCTTATCAAAGATAATGTCAAAATTCCAAATCAAAATACTAAACAATCTCATCATAAGATTAATCTAATGCAAAAATGTTGTTCAGTAGCATGCTATAAAACATTTCCTCAGGAAGAAAAAAAAAAAACAGGCTTTTTTTATTCTAGAAACTGAGACAAATGGTGAAACTCATACTTGATCAAGTAGCCTACACAAATTTAATTCCCTCATCTCCTCCCCAACAGGCAGACTGTTACATCTTCATTGAAAGCAAGTGTCATTCAGTCAGTGCATTTCATCTACACACTGCTTTTACTGCAGAGCATAAAAGTAAACTTGGTTTAAAGTACTTAGGTGCAGAATTGTTCTTAGACATTGCTTAATACGGCAACATCCACAAGCAAGCACTATTAAAATTCAATGTAAGTAAAACTTGGACAACCTTGCTTTAGAAGCACAGTTTAGTACCCATCTCCAGATGGAAATACAATTGTGCAAATGCTTTCAATACACACGTTTATGAACAAACACCTAGCATTCCACCATTAGTAAACTATGTAACCACATTCAGCTTCAGTGTTTACAGTTTCTAGTTCACAAAGCTCAAGCTTTTAAAAAATCTTAGTATCTTTCTACCAAGTAAGGCAACACTGAACAGATACCAGCAGAAAATCAATTAAAACATTCATGTTTAATTAGTATTATTAAAATAGTCTTCAACAGTAAGTTTTCAAAAGTCTTAAGCCATACCAAAAAAGGTTAGCTAAGCATCTAGCGTATCCTTGGTAAGTAGTATAACATTCATTGTATTGTTGATACCTTCATGTATTCCTTGATAAATCGAGCTGCCTTCACACCAGTTTCTACATTAAAACTGATGTCAACTTTCACTTCTGTCTCCTGGTCAGTAAGTTTTATTATTGGTACCTGAAAAGGTTAAAACAAGATTTTCTGAGACCCCAAAAACACAACAGCAGTGCTCCTCCTCCCCAGCTACTTCACACACATGCATACTATCAGTCCAAATGAATGACTAGGGAGACAAGAAAAGGTGTTTTTGAGAAAGGATAACAATCCTAACTTGGCTGACAAGTGAACTGATTTTTAGATTTTTAGTGAGGTGATTAAAATATTGGCATGTACGATCACATTAACTTACAACCACTCATGTACATTCCCATAGCTGTTAGCTATCTGCCTCCATAGCTGCAATATCAGTGTTGTAAGAACCGCATTCATCTGACCCAGCAGTGCACCATTCAGCTTGCTAAACCAACAGAAGACTTAGCCTAGCAGAAAAAATAAAGAGCTGCCTGTTGGCTTTATCAAGCTGAACTGGTTCACTGCAGAGTCAAATGAAAGCCAGAATGGATAAAAGCAAAGCAGGAATAGCAGTACTTCCTCTCCTGGCAGCAATAAATCATTACAGAACTACAGAATATGCAGTTCAGTCTCACACCACCACCTTGAAGACATTATCCAAAAAAAAATGGTATTACAAGCATGTTATCTCACAATCATAACCTAAACTTCAGCTCATACATTTATTCTGAATTGAGCTTCTTGCATGTATTTTTCATCTGAAATGGAAAGCAAAAAAAAAAAAAAGCTGAATTACAGCATCATTTTCTACTAACAGCAAAGGGAATAAAAGAAGAGGCTGGTAAAATTAGTATACATATTGCCTTTCTCCTTTGCTACCTGGTACTAATACTGAAAATCCCACTCTCACGTAAACCAAAGATTACCAAAACTCCTGCTATGTATTGCTATTCCAGCAGAAGCTGTAGGAATCTTCTGGTCCTAAAAGTCACTATTTTCAGAAAACACAGAAGGTAACAACCTACTAAGAGAAGTCTGCAATATTCTGCTTAGTCTCCTGGAGAAAACAACCCTGGTTTGGTAATGCAAAATTCTTACGTGAAGTTTTCAGCACATTCAATGTTTGATCCATTGTACTCACAAGACAGATGCAAGAAATACTACATATCAAGCAACGCAACAACTCCAGCTACCAGTCCCTGTCTAACACAAGTCCACTTGAAATTCAGTGGAAAAACATGATATAGTTAAACTGTCTTATATTTTGCAAATACTGACTCTCCTTGACAATAGGAAATCATTCTGTATTGACAATGAGCATAAAAATGGCCTTCCAACAAATGCAGTGTACAATTAAGGTTCTCTGTGTCAAAACTTCTCTATGCTATTGCTAAAAACATGCACGTTCTACTAAAATCTTGCCCAGACAAAGTAAAACAAGATAACATCATTGTGCTTAAGACATCAATTGCTTCATGAATTAATTTAAATAATATTCATTTATCATGTCATATCATATTAAGTAGTCTAAACATTTTTCTGTTCAGTATTCCAATGATTGTTACTTACCGTAGCTTTATCAAGTACTTTAATGGAATATGGCTCAGCCACGTTGTGTTTTCTTAGTGCTTGCTCCAGCAGCTGTAAAGGGGGGCGTTCCCATTTCCCAAAAACAACTAAATCAATATCACTAGACAAAAAGAACACAGCATGAAATCCACTGAGTCTTAGATGAGGTAGTCCATAAAGAAAATTGCCATTCTACATGTCACAAGCCCTCTCAGATAAACATTTTGCAACTTTTAGCAATCCAGGTTTCAAAGAAGCTTGCTTTATCAATGTTAGAGACAGGCTAGGCTGCTTTAGGACCCAAATTCAGTATTCTGGTTCCTTACTTCCAGTCCTCTTATGAGTTCTTTAGATGACTCCTCCCTTTTTTCTTCCTTGCTCCCCCATTCTGACTGCCACAGCCCAGTCCTGTCCCTCACCTATCCATGTTGGTAGGTTTGTTAATAGTACAAATAAGTTTGTTTCGTTTTTTAAATCAGTAATTGTTTTTCCCCAGAAATTCCCAGTGCTTATTGAAAAGGTAAAGATGATAGTCTTTAAGACACAGCTACACAGGTTTCCCGCTGACTTTGTAACCATCAGAGTATCTATCGAACTTTAAGTGACATAAAACACTGAATTAAGACACAACAAGAGTTGGGAAAACCCTGCTATGATGACCACACCAATTTTGCACAGTAACTGTGACACACAGATTTTTTTTTAACAAAACACAAATCTTACATAGAGTAAAACTGGCAAGTTTAGTACTTGCCATCTTGAAAACACAGCCCAAAGGAAGAAACAGTGCTTCACCAAAGCATTGACAAGTACCTAGTGCTGGCACAGATTTGATTAATATTTGGTATATCAAAGTCAAATAGCTCTTCCCTTGGTCACACAGGACACTAAGAACTTTGCTGGAAGTTTGATAGGTTTACAAGTTCCAGTCTAAACTCCCCTTTCAGTTTTACCATTAAACTGAAAGACAAGCTTTATCTAAAAGTAAATCATTACTTACCTAGTTGGAAGATAAAGCCCTGTACTAAAGCTGCCAAATATCTGGACCTGAAAAAAAAATGAAATCACTTATGAATGCTCACTTTTAAGATTTGTCAAGATTTTTCTGGACCTGTTAAAGATACAGCCCAGTAAAAGAAGTTACTGGGCTTACATGTCAGTATACAGACTTTGCTGTATACTGTTAAGCTTGTACAAATATACCTTCTCTTAAAGGTTCAACTTTATGGGAAATTGTATTTTTACAACACGAAATGACTACCAAGCCTGAAAGCCAGACAGCATACATTTTTTAAAAGTCCTTGTATCTATTTATTTCATTCTACGGAAGTATAAACTGCTATAGATTTCCTTCCTCTGCCCTCTTTCCTCATAGGGCTACTTTACTAATTTTTTGTTTGTTTAAAGGATTTCTTTTTCCAATTCTTATGTTTAACAAGTGCAACTAAATATTCAATTCATAAGACACACAAGTACTCCAGATTTTACTGTAGGGATGACTGAAATTGTACTAGATGTTCAGGGGAGAGAGGCATGCACCAAGAGATTACGCTGAAGAGACATTCACAGTCCAGATCAGATACTTTCACTATACGTCCACCCTAGAAAACTGAGATTTTCTTCTCTCTCATTTACAGCATAATTCGCAAGTTTACTTCTTTGAAGCGACCCATAAAAAGGCTAGGCCATTTCACTGACTATTACCATTCCCATGGTCGAGAAAAATCTTATTGCTAAGAAAAATTGTAGGTGAAGATGAAGATGGGCTTTACAGTGTATTTAGCTCAACATTGTGCCCATAACCTTCAGTTCTGGTCATTAAAGGCTATGAAATCACAACGCTCTGAAATTTATGCTTTTTAATAACAACCCTGCTATCTGTAATTAGAAGGGTAAGGGGATACGAGCAGAGTAACAGAGATAGAGTTTGCATTAAGTTCTTTTTGGATGTTTTTTGTTTGGAGGAAGTTTGCTCTTTGGATAATAAACGGTTTGAAAACAAAACAAATTTGGTTAGAAGATGCTTCAAAAAGTAAAGCGCAATCTTCCCACTAAAGCTGAACTAAGGTAATTCAAAAACATCAAATTTGCGAAGTATGCAAAAAAAAATGAAGTTTGGTTTTGAAAATGTTCTTTTATGAAGTATTTGTATTTACAAATATCCACGTGGTCAGGATCCACTGTAGAAGTGGATACATAGGCTCATTTTGATATTCAATTATAATTTTTTTCATTTCTTAGGTAAGAGCTATCAGTAGCCTTCGCTAGCCTCATATCTATCTAGGTTTTGAGTTTCCTCCACTTTTTAAAATAAAATTCTGAAAAGTTGTGATATTTAATTCAAGTCAATCACCTTAAAACTTATCTGTTCACTTCTCAAAAACAAAAGATAGCTTCATGAATTGAGCTCTACAATCTACTGGAGAAGCAAAACAGTACTTGATTTACACTCACATCAGCTGTAGGCCAGAGATCTTTGATGACCGTTTCTATTCTTTTCACCACTTCTCTTCTCATAGCTGCTTCTTCTGGACGAGGGGACATGAAGTCATAGAAGTCAATTATTTCTTCATGTAGTCTAAAAGAGAAAGTAACATCAATTATTATGATGATTTAACTATTACAATAATTTCACGCACCCTGAATAAGGCCATAGGTTTTATTTAATATCACTTAACCAAAACCAGCAGTGCTTTCAACAGAGAGGTGAGCACCACAGAAGTTAGATTTTGGGTGGCAAAGCCAGACAGTTTGGTGTCTAGGATCAGCAGAGAGGCAAGGGCCTCAAGATGTATTCATACTTTATTTCCTATGGCAGCACCTCACAGTAATCTCAGCAATGCCTACACATCAGCTCCCACCACATTACCTAACTGCTAAAGATGTCAAATAACAGGACACAAACACTGGTAGACGTTTGCTAACCTTCCTACATGCTCAACAGTGAAGTTACAGGCCACTGGCATTGAGTTTTTGCAGAGGGCTATTAAGAGGGCCATTTGATTACTCCTTGATACAAAAACATACACTTGCACAAATGGGGATTTCCTTAACAATTCAAGTCCTTTACAAGCCATCTATTCATACAGGAGATGACCTTTCAACTGAACTACTCAAAGTAAGGACTGTAACATTTTCTCCAGTGTAAAATATGTTAATACCACCGTTGGGTGAGGAGTTCTCACACAGCATCTTTCTATACCTGTTAAGTGCTTTCATTTCCCATCTTCCTGATATTACAGGGTACTCACTGACAATGTGAATGAAGATGAATTTAAGTTTTCAGATGAACATAAATGCTTGCTTACAATGGAAAACCACCAAGCCACACCAGACAAAAAATACAGTTTCTTGAAACAGGACAGTAACTGCTGCTGTGGTATTTTAGCAAAGATCTTCTTGATGTTGATATATAGTCAATACACTTAGCTTTCCAAAATGAAAATTTTGTAAGTCTAACAGAACTCTAAACTACTTTTATATTTTCCTGAGACTGTTTTGCAAAACATTTTACTAGAGAATTCCTTCCCTATCAGATATCCTTCGACAGATCATATTCAGAAGGCACTGCCCACTTCTTAAGTGTCTGGATTCCTTTCTATACACAAAGATTTCAGCAGCAAAACATAAAGACACTACTTTTAGAGAGTATATATTTAGAATTACCATGTGCCTTTCCAATTATCTTAAGCTGCCGATCCGCAGTTGAACACATATTGCTGTGTAGTTACACAGCAGGCACATCAAACTTTTCAATTTGTGGGTGGAGGTAATTGCCTTCAGAGCAAGACAGGAGGTACAAACCAACATGCTCCTACCTTATTCTTAGTTTGTTTCTAGAAAGCATGAATTTTTCCCCCTCTCAAAGGTTAAAAAAAAAAAAAAAAAAAGGAAATGAAGCAATAAAACCCAAGTAAAGACTTCCCATTGTCCTGTCTGTAAAAACCAGCATTAGGCAGATACAGAGTGAAAGCAAGAGAAGACAAAGCAGTTATCCAAGTCTCTTCCAGCAATTCTTCCAAGTCTACAGTAATTCTGACATACTTCTGGGGCGGATACCAAACATGATCTGTATTATCTCAAAAGACTTTTCTTCCACTAATTTTTCCATGTCTTTTTACTCCATTTATGCTTTTGTCATTCATGACATTCTATGACAACTTAAATATGCATCAGAGTAAGGAAGTGTTTTATTTTAAACTCCTGCCTGTGAATGAGTCTACTTGATGCTCTTTTTCTAGGAAAAATAATAATAATAATTACTGGCAGCTCATCTCCAAACAATGTTTTGCAGACTCTGCATTGACACTCACCAGTCTCTATCCACCAGTTTCCTTCCCCCTCAAGCTAACCACCCTCATCTGCTTCTCTCCCCTAACACAGGAGCAGGTCCAAAGTTTGATCAGTGCTGACTTTCTTCAGCTTGTTTTCAGTTGCACCACACTTTTGGCAGGTGGCCAGAAAAGCACACAGTCAATATGTAATTACACCACTTAGCCCATGACACACCTGCTATTTATTTTTTATTGTTCATTCCTACTGCTACTAATTGCTATTTGAGGAGCAGAGCATATAGCTACTCTTTAAAAGAAAGCATTTTGAAGGAGCATTGAGATGTTTTCTGAACAATTGCCACCAATTGCCCACCCACTTGGCATGTACAGCCTGAGTTACTTTTCTTCAGATTTTTGTCTCCATGTTTACTAGCATTTAATTTTACATGTATCTGCAGTTTTGTAACCTACTGAATAATGAACTCTCATTACAACTGTCTGCAATCAGCTCTGGCTTTCTGTTTCTCTTGGTGTTCTGTCCTTTTCCCATTCACTTCTTCCCTCCAGGTATTTCTGAATATATTGTGCAGCCACATCTTGAGTAATTCCACCAGTACCCTTCTTTATTACAATGTAAATCATTCATTCTTTCCCTTTGTTACTTCTAAGCAGTTGGTAAACCCATAAGCACAGCAAGCCTATGACTTTTTAAAAAGCCTTCAAAAAAGAATCTCAAAAACATTTCTCAAAATATATATACATATATACATATCCTACAGATCTTTGTTATCATAAAGACCACATTAATAAGGGTTAACAGTGAATCCATTAGGATACCAACCAGGTTCAACCACTCCTTACATCCAGGCATCCTGCAAAAAGCTGTGTTTGCAGTTGCCATTCAGTATCAGGAAAGGAGAAGGCAGAGCAAGCACTCACACACTCTCCCACTGCAGTGTCCCAGTGAGTGTCCCAGTGTCCCAGTCTGCTGAGACCAGTAAGCATGGCAACCCTTAACCATATTATCAACAACTCAACATTTCCTTCCCTGATCTAGTTTTTAACAAGTCAGCTCCACATCTCCACTCTTGCCCTGCCAAGAAAGCACTTAACGCTTCAGTTTGCACAGGACAACACCACAGGAGTTAGATAATCAGAGCTGTTTGCAAGTTGAAACTAGATGCTGTGGTTTAATGGGGAAGTTCCTCTTGAATTCCTCAGCACATGCCATCAGACACGGCTGTATACGAGTCATCGTCCTCCGGATTTAAACATTCCTTACTGAAATTCAACATGACAATTCCTCAACACAGTCAAAGTCAAAGAAAGTGCAGATGAGAACTCCAAGTCCCCCTCTGGCAAAAATAAAAAAATAGCAATGCAATTAGATCATTTAGGGTTTAGAGCATGATCTGACTTCCCCTTGGTGCCCTTTCACATCTCTAATCCTGGTATAAACCCTGGCCACTCCAGCAAGTTCCTTGCTTTTGATGCATATGGTTTCCAGTTTTTAATGCACTTCACAAAACAGAAGATTTGAGAACTGATTTAACAGACTTATTTTGTTCACCCCTCTTTCTACTTTCCTTATTTCAAGGGTTTCTATTTCTCAGAAAACATCATCAAAACTCTTTGGTAAGAATCAGTGCTATCGTCAGAGTCAGCCTAAGACAACACTTGATCTTAATGGCCAGGAGGTTAAATACTTGAAAATGCTGCATTTCTTTTAGCTTCTTTCTAAAGAAACATCTCAAAAATGATATTAAAGAAAAAAAAAACTGAGTATTATTACTGTTGATATTTTCTAAGCCTCTTTGCTCAGATGAGATTACTGGAATGCTAGTCACATAAAAAGTAGCTCTGATATACACAGCCAGATGCTGTATGCTGCTCAGGACTAATCCCAGAGTAACTTCTATATTAGCTGCAGGAATGATTTGGTGTCTAAAAACAGGCTACAACATGACATTCACCCAGCCAATATATGGATAGTTTCCAGGTTAAGTATTTTGCTCATGTAGCCTCTCTGATCTTCAGAAGCACTTGTCACTTTCTTGGTCAAGACTGCAACGATATCTTCATCAATTAAGAACAATCTCAATTTGTAGTACAGGAGGTACTAGCAAGCAAAAACAATTTTTTCATTTTTTTTTTTTTTTAAATAGAGCTTCCTTTAACATATAGCACAAGCTTCTTAAACAACTTAGGCTATAAGAGCATCCTATTACATACCTACTTTCTTGGTTTAAGACTCCTGCTATACTGCTCTCTTAAAGCTGGGCATTTTAATTGACCTCTTAAAAAGGCAGTTTCACTATATTAAAATATTGGAAATTAGATTTGTTGGTGAAGTGTAACTATACTGCTAATGGAGGGTGGAAGAGATTAGAAATGCAGAGATGCAGAAGAAGGGCTACTTGCACTTAAACACTATTTATCTTGCTAATTTTAACACCCTGGAGGAACCAACCGTTCACTGATGCCATTACGCTAAGCACAGTAAGCATCTGCTGCTTGCAGGCTGAACTATGCAACACGATAAACACCTTTGCTTAACAAAAAATTATCCCTTTTACTGTTTTAGGAAAGGCAGAGATACACTTCTGGGCTTCAGGTTAAAATAAGACCAATGAGATAAGTCCTTAATCTTTTGTCATGTTTTTCTTTACAGGCAGGTTTCTGAGAGAGATCATTTACTTTACTCATTACTTACTGTGTCTGCATGTACTATTTTATACATAGCTCATTTGTTACCTCAAGGGCTGCCTTCAGTGTATTGACATGAATTCTCAAACTGCATCAGCAAACTAGAAAGTGAATGAAAAGCAACAGTGTTTGTTCCCTCCAGTAAGCATACTGTTTGTCTTCAATATCATGTCTGTGCTATTAAGCTCACCAATTTATTCTTGGACAGAAACATGACTGCATCATTTACATGGAACTGGTATTATTTCTTAAAATATATTCATTACTACATGAATATTTTTCTAATTAAGAAAAGTATTTTCTAATAACTTGGCTAATTTTCACATTAGCCAAGCATCCCTGTTAAAGAATAGACGCCTCAGTTACAACACGTGTTTAATACCAGCACGGAGCAGGAAAGGCAGCATTTTGAGAGCTTTGTTGAAATAAAGGTTACAAACAATAAGCTAAGTTCTCAGTGAAGTATGAACTCTGAAACGTGCCTGAAGACTTGGCTGTCTCAAGCTTAAATGGTAAAGTCCCAACAGCCATTGTGTGTATTTCTCAAGTCTGTTGAAATATTTTACCTTCACCTACTACTACAGCAAAGCACAACTTT